CTAGCTACCCTAAAAGACAGTACTCCCCCAAGCCTTCCAACCCCTGGTCCTGCTTTATTTCAGAAGAGGTCTTTCTGTGTGTGTCACCTTTACTGATAGGGGAAGCCTCAGCCACCCGGCACCGCCCCCGCACAGTACCATGCTGCTCCGCCCTTGTTCACTTTGCATTTGTGGAATGAATGCATATTCAGTTCCAACTTCTTTCTCAGCGGCCCACAGCTTTCCAGCGACTTTGGGACAGGCTTCTTTAGTCATCAATGAATGTGCTCTGAGGAAATGCAAACTTAACGTAAATCTTCTCCCCAACGAAGCATAAAAAAGAAGGTAACACTGCGAAGACCGACACCTGGAATAGTTACAGTTGTTTTTCTCCGGTGCCTGCCGTTTTAGAGCTCATTATGACTCCCTTACCTACGAAGAGGTAGTGCTCTGTTTAAGCTTTGCTTTCACGGCTCCTTTGTGTCTACCTAGCACGTCTTGCTTTCTGTTCATGGGTGCTTTCTACCGTTAGGATGGAATTTCTTAGGGCAGGGCCCCAGGGGGTTCCTTCTGGGCCTTTCCCCGGCATCCAGTACCCAGCCTCACTTTTGGAAAGAGCGGAGCCGAAGGGCGTGTGCAGGGGGGGAATCACATCAGCCTTTCCTTTTTATTCTGGACCCACGCTGAATCGGGTCCCAGACTGCACCAAGGAGGACTGGGGGCTGCTTGAAAGGTTGCATTTGGGGTCAGAATTGAATTCCCTGATGAGGGGCAGTTGGCTGCCCTCTAACCCCCAGTCCTCCTCTCTCTAAACAGAAAAGAGCCACACCCTAACTGATTTACCAGAGCCACGGTTGTGGAATATTAATATGGATTTTACTCTGATGACTAGATGAAAGAACCATACTTGTTTCTAGGAGATGAGATGTTGACATCACCTCCACATGGGGAGCTGCGGGGAGAGGGGTTTGAAAGCTAAAGAAGATACAAAGCAAGGGAGAAAGCCACCTCCCTCCTGATGGTGGAATGAGCAGCTGCTCAGAAAGCTTTACCCAAAAAATGGACCTAGCCGTGGAAGGTTGGTGTGATGGCTAGCTTTATGTGTCAACTTGGCTAAGCTATGGCACCCAGTTATTTAATGAAATGTCAATATAGATGTTGCTGTGAAGGTAATTTTTAAAATGTGGTTAACATCTGCAATTGGCTGACTTTGTAACTAAAGGAAATTACCCTCAATAACGGGGGTGGGCCTTATCCAATCAGTTGAAGGCTTTAAGAGAAAAAACTGAGATTTTTTTTCTAGAGAAAGAGAAATTCTATTCATCCCAGCCTGCCCCTGGGATTGTGGACTTGCCAGGCCCATAATGGCATGAGACAATTCCTCTGGGTTCTGTTTCTCTGGAGAACCCTGACTGACACAGCTGGGAAGCAGCATCTGCTCAGAAGAGGAAGAGATGAACAGGGACAGTATGCCAAGGACAAAGGGGAAGGGATTCAAAGGCATTCCTGTCGCTACTGCCCAAAATGACCACTACATCAGGCCAAGGAGAGTAACTGGGACGCAGTGTCAATAAAGAAGAGCGCCTTTGCCTCGGGGACCAGAGTGGCTGACAGCCATCACTTCGACTTTGGAGGTGTCAGTGAGAAGTGACCGATCGTGCTTGCTAGCATGTGCTTCGCACTTCCCAAAGCTGTCCCCGCGTTTCCTCATTTGGTTTCCACACCAGCCCTGCATGTTGGCAAGGGCAAGGTTGAGTCTGCCCATTTCACAGATCAGAAAGAAAAGAGCTACTGGGTACCCCAAGGCTGGGGGCTCATGGATGCCTTGAAGAAAGGGAATAGTGTTTCAAGGGCTTCCTAAGTGAGACGAATCAGGAGGCTGGGGTCAACCTCTTCTGCATTCACCTGGGACTGAGATGGCTCCCGCACCAATACAAGACATCTTGCGTGTTAGAAATGATCTACTTGAGAACGGTCCTGAAGGGAGGCCCTATGGCTGAAGAGGCTTCCCCAGAGAGTTGGTGGGGAAAGGCTTCAGAGTTCACAGTCTTTTCTAGGGGATGATGAGTGGTGGCAACAAAAGTTACCCATGGGCAGAAACAGCTGGGGAGCCATCTGTCTGGGAGAAGCCTCCGGCCTGTTTCATTACCCCTTTTCCTGCATTGTGAGAGGCCTGGCCGCTGACAGGAGGCGGTTTACTGCAGAGGGAACAGAAGGAAACCAGTTGGCACTTGTATAACCTTGGCCTCATTAGCATCCAAGCAAAGCCCACTGGGCTATTGACTTCCAGTAAATATCCACCCACCAGGAAGATTCCCCCAGCCCCGCCTCAGGGGTGTTCAGACACCAGACAGGGCCTTCTTGCTCTTCCATCCCGGGCTTTGTCATCCAGGAGCCGCTCCTCCCCACCCAGGATCTTCCTTCCGGCAGAGCCCGTGGGGGAAAGAAGGAAGGAGACCTCTGTGGTCACCTCTGTGAAAGTCTCCCATTCTCTCGCTCCAAAGGGCCAAATAAATAAACCTCACAAAGGCGGTTCAGCAAGTGAAGTGTACACAATTATATTTCCAACTGCTTTGAAAACTTTTATTTCCGTACAGCAAATGACACATTATCTTTCCGGAGGTCAAGGAATAATGCAGTCAGATTCTTGCGACATTGCGAGAGCTAATGTTTCTATTTGCCATTGTGTCCTATGCAAAGAAAGGCGGCCGGTCACTTGGGGTTAGCACAACACGGCGCGGAGAAGGTGGCATCCACCAGAAGTGCTTTGAAAATGTTGGACACTATTGTGCAGGCGAGCTCCTTCCTGGCCCCGCTGTGTGATGGGCCTCCGGGTGCTGAGGAGAGAAGCGATGCTATGCTTGGAGTGTCAGGGGTAGGACTCTCCTGAAGCTACCTTCGTAATTTCCTCGAACTTAAGGACTTTGATTTGTTAATAGTAATTGAAATAGATAATTCAATTGAAGTGTCACTTGGATATAATAATTGCCAAGGAAATTGAACCACAAAGAAATACCATAAATTGCAACTTAACGTTTATTGGAGTCCTTGGAGCTACTAATGTTTCCCCAGGTATCTTCCCTTCCATCTTTTGAATGTGCCTCCTCATTCATGCTGCCCTTTCAGAAATACCTTTGCTTCTTCCTACATTTTCAATCGGTGCATTTGGCCCCTCTTAACATGCTTATCATTGCAAAGTACTTGTTGTATTAATCATCTGGTGAAAACTTCAGCTAAACTCTTTCTTGTCAAATGTCAGCTTCCTCCCATTCTATCTACAATAGAATTCTATCTACAATGTTTTCTTTGCTTTTGTAGGTTGAAATGGTGCTTCATATATTGAAAGGGCTTTGGGAGTATCCACTGCTGTCATTGTGATTCTACACATTTTCTTAACAGGAAACCATCTTTGCAAGGGTTTATTATAACACCACTGAACTATGTCCATGACTTAGAACAATACAAGAAGCCACCTTACCCTCCTCAGGGGGCCTTGCTTGGAACATTACTATTACTACTATCGTTATTATTTCCAATTGATGATGGGGAAGGAAACACTTCACCTCCTAATGCTATGGACTGCACAGCCTGCTCCTTTCTTATTCCACCCCCACAATCACCCTTGCCCAGGATTCTGATCCATTGTCACGACCACAGCTCCCCTTCTTCCTCTCACCTACCCCATTTTACTCCTAGGAAACATCTCGTGTGAGACTGATTTATGACAGGAGACCCAGTCAGAACTCAGCCATGTCTTCATTACCAGGAGCCTATGGCAAGCTTTCAGTTCAATTAAGGAAGAAAAACATGGAAGGGAGAGCAAGAGAGGCAAAATGACAAAGAAAGAATAGGGGGAGTGAATAAAAGAAAGGAAGGGAGAGAAGCATGGGGAAGAAACAAGGATGTAACCACATGCCTCCTGGAAAAAATCTGTAATGTAGAGTTAAGTCTGTGAGTCTGTGTGTAGGGGCAGGGGGAGTGAGATGCAAAATATGTGCCCAAAAGGACTGTAACTACATGAAATCTCTATTTATGCAGACAATGGGAATAGAATTCACCAGAATGAAGACAGGTATATGTAAAGTTGTCAGGATCGTAAGTATTATTTTCTCCACTTTTTAGACTTTCAATTATGCACCATCTTTATAACAGAAAAGTGGAAGAAATGTTGAGAGCGGTGTAGAGGCACAAACACAGCTGCCCCTTCTAAGCCTCTGACTCTGTGTTGTGCTAAAGTCCATGGCCTGGGAGCAGGAAAAGGTGGTCTGAAGCTCTATCCTCAGGGCCTGTCCCCTGCTGTCTTCACTCAGATCCCCCCCAACAACTCCCCTAAGGATGGGCTGAAGGAAAGCTGGAAGCCAGGGAAGAGCTTTATGTAGGGATGTGCTGACCCCAAAGGACCTGTTTAGAATTCCTTGGAAATCAAGAATTGCCGGAACAGCCCATGGCAGCTCTTGTGTGAATCTTCCTGAATGTTTGAATTTGACATATTTTAATTGAAAAATTCTCTCCTTTTTTTTCTCTCTCTCTCTCTTTCTTAATGTACAGCCATCCCCCATGGTAGTATATATACTAGACTCAGTACCACACAAAGGCATGACATGAAGAACCAAAAGCATTCCATTGTCCGGAGGACAATGGAATTAAGTACAAAAAGTTTGGGGCCCTGAAGTCACCCAGACTTGTCATCCCCATTTGGCAACTGAATGAAGCCTGCTGGGCCTCAATCATGGCCATGGCTAAATGAGGGTAATTTAGCTGGCTTCATTGGGTTGCTATGCGAAGGAGAAGGTCTAAGGTTTGTGATGTGTGTAACAGGCTTCGAGTATTTTAAGTACTCCACAGGTGTTCCCGCTTCCTTCTGAACCAAGGAGTCCTGTTTATTCCTCTTCACCTCACTGAACCCTTCTACTTCAAAAGAATGTAAAGTAACACACTGGGATGACCTTGCTCATTATCACATGCGTTCAGATGTGCCACTGATTAAATCGTGACCCTTAAAATGTTCTTTCCTCACGCAGTGGCAAAGTCTTGTAAAACACACTTGCTTGACAAGTTCCAGTGTCTAAAGGGGTGGTGAGGTGCTCCGGAGGAGTACTCGTTGGACTAGGATCCAGCAGTTCCAGGCCTGGCTTAGATCCAAATTGCCACAAGCACGGTGAGTGACTTTGGACAAGACACTGCTTCTTAGGACCTCAGAGTTCCCCTCTGTAAAATGAGGGGAAATGGCCAGAAGCAGGAATTTTAAACACATTTAATCAGTACTTTCCTGTTCAAATGGAATCTTACCTCTAACAGAGATGCTCTGACTGTGGCAGGGGGCAGTGCTTGGTGACTCCCTCTCTCGGTGATTTACTTTGAGATCCATCTTCAAAGCCATAGAGCATGCCTTGAAACCACAAGTTTTTTATACTCTCGCAAATCACTTGACAATCTAACAGTCCACAATTTTACATATGCCCATCCTAATTTCTCAACCTTTCATCACAAGGCATGAGTATTTTGTAAAGTACTATCATCAATATATACCAAAGCATATGATCACATTGCTTTGCTGACTTCTGTTGTTGGACAGTTAACGAATATTCAACTCAGGACTTTGCTTTCCTGAGTGCCTGCTATTGTGTTTTTTATTCCTCTTTTTCTCCTTTTTTTATAACTTTCCTTCATCCCTGCTCTTTTCCAGAAGGAAACCCCATCTTGCTGATACTCTCCTGGATCAAATTCCCTGCTGACTTCTTTCCCTGGACTGCCTCGCATGTTTGACAGTGAACAAGAAGGTAGGATGGCTGCCATTTGGGAACACTTTCTCTCTCTCTCTCTCTCTCTCTCTCTCTCTCTCTCTCTCTGTGTGTGTGTGTGTTTCTATAGATTTCTGTCCCACACTCTTCCCCCTTCCTCTAAATGGGTCCAAGAACCAGCAGCAACAGCATTACCTTGTAGGCTCTTTAAAAATACAAATTCTTGGGTCTCATCCCATTTTTACTGAATCAAAGCCTCCAAGGTTTGAGGTTAGGAAAGCAGATGATAATATTAGCTTCCAAAGTGAATGTTCATCTCCTTAAATTTTGAAAAAACCTTTCAAATGACTCTCTCCCATTTCTCCATCTCTCGCTCCTCGGCTTCGTCCCCCTCAGTTCTCATCCTAATTACCAGCTGACTGGTGGATGCCACTGCTACTTAAATGCGCTCCCACTCCGGATCCCTAATCATGCCCATTGTGCTCCTCAAAGCTAAGTCAAGAATCGCTGCCTTTTTATTCCCCTCTCTATGTATATATTGTAGAAGGAAGCAGGTCCCTGCGCTTTTGTTGTCTCTACTTCTGGGCTTAGCTCCATTTGCTGGTGAACAGGCCTTATCTTCACTCTCCCCCTCTAACTACTGTAACATTCGGCATCCTTTCATGTCTGTGCTTTTAAAGTAAATCTTTGGACAATTAAAGATATGAAATGGCTAAATAGAGTTCTGCAGGCGTTGTTCTCTCCTTTTTAAAGGTTTAATCATACTTAATGGCTCTCTTCAAAACTTGAATTTTCCATTTTGGTGTTTTGACTCCATTGAAAGAGTTTACTAATATTCTTTCAAAAGTATTCTCTGCTCAAATGAGCTATTCAATAGAGCTTTATGCCCGGCTATATAGGATGTATGCTACATGGAAAATAATTTAAAGGGAGATCAGAGTTGGGGGTGCCATTCCTCACTACAGGTTTTGTTAGTTAAACCATAATCATTAATATGGGATCCACTAAACGTTGGTGTGAAGGAACAAGAATGACCATTTAGGTAAAAGTATGGGCATATTTCAAATCCTGTTTCAAATGCAATTTAAATACCCCTTTCCTTGAAGATAGTTTAGTTTGGCCTTGCGATTCTATAAATAGGAACTGGTAATAAATTCTCCTTTCCTCCCTCCCTTCACCTCCTGTTTTTCTTCCTCAAAAGTAGTAGACAACAGAATATGGAAAAGTAAAAGGAAACCATTGTATAACCAATGTCTGTTTCAGATTGTTGTAAACAAATTGTCTTGACTCTTCCCAGTCTTGGTCCTGCTGAGCTCTATCTTGTTCTGTCTCGTCACCGTCAGGAGTAGGAAGCCGGCCGGACACTGAGTACCCCTGGGTCATACTCACACTCCAAATGATAGAATTTGCTACTTGCAAGGGAAATTTAGTGGAAAATAAAAGCCGGTACTCCCTGACAGCATCTTTATTAAACCCCAGACCCTCTGGTGGGCTAAGTGATTTGGATAATGCATGTGATGCTAATAAGACACATGGGCTCAGATGAGGAAAACTGACACTTTGTGTCTGTGACCTAATAAGGACACCCCATCTCCCTGCTGCCTTCCGCTTTCCCTAATTCTTTCTTCCCACAAGTAGCCGTTGAGTACCTGCAACATGCCCGGTAGCATGGTAACTGCTAGGACAAGTTTGAGAGAATTGTGTCCTGACCTTGAGGAGTTTAACCAAAGAAAAAAAGAAATAGTGAAGGTAATGGAAAGAACCCAGAGGACATGACCTGCGATCCAGGCCATGGTGGCTCACTAACTACATGGTCTCCGAGAAGGCATTTCATTTCTATGAGACTCTGTGTCTCATTCATGGAGAGTTGCTGAGATCTAGTAGCATTTACTACTTCTAAAAGTACTTATTATTTATTTAAGCTCCAGGAGAGCAGGGACCTTGGCTGGTATTCACCTCTGCATCCCTAGTGCCTAGAACAGTGGCTGGCATAGAGCAGGTGCTCCATAAATAGTTGCTGAATGGATGCATGTGTTACAGTTGAACTCCTCATGAAGCCTGAACTGCTGACCTTGACCCGAGTTTGTAGGCGTGGTAGGATTTGCACTGGACAGAGGAGGAGGAGAGTATTTCAAAAAGAGAGCAGCAGAGGGAACAAAATGGGGTCAAATAATTTCAGTTTCAAAGGTACCAAAGAGACCAGTTTGCACGCAGCAGTGATGGATGTGTCTGGGAAGAGTGGATGTGGGCCAGATTTCAAAAGGCCTTGAATGCCAGGATTAGCCAGTGGGGAGATAGAGAAGGTTTTGGATCCTGGGTGTTATTTGAAGGAAGTAATATTTTAGGAAGATTAATCAGGCAAAATATTCAAGACTAAAGGTGGCAGAGAAATAAATTAAGAGGACATTGCAATAACTGAGGTATCGGATGGCAAGACCTGAATTAGAATCACGGAAATGGAATCAAAAGGAAGGGAGAAAGCAGGAATCAATGGAACTGGGTCACTGAGGAGCTATGAAGAGATGAGGGAGGAGAAAGCATTTAAGGTATAGAGACTAGAGATCTGGTAGAATTAATAGAAATGGGCAGGGGTCCACTTATGAGAGAAATATAGTGAAATCATTGGGGTGTTGGTAGAATATCCAAGGGGAAATGTCCAGCAGGCAGTGGTATACGTGGGGCTGGAGAAAGGAATGCAGGTGAGGACCAAAGATAGCAGATGTGGAAGCCATTTCCTTGGAGGCAGCTGGGAAGAGACGGCTTCTTTAAAGAAGAGCAGAGATGCCCTGGCCAGATAGAGCATTGGCCTGCGGACTGAAAGGTCCCATTCGATTCCCGCCAGGGGCACATGCTGGGGTTGGGGGTTTGATCCCCAGTAGAGGGCATACAGGAGGCAGCCAATCAATGATTCTCTCATCATTGATGTTTCTATCTCTCCCTCTCTGAAATCAATAAAAATATATTAAAAATAAAGAACCGTAACCTGTTTGGCTCAGTGGATAGAGCGTCGGCCTGAGGACTGAAAAGTCCCAGGTTCGATTCCGGTCAAGGGCATGTACCTTGGTTGCGGGCACATCCCCAGTAGGAGGTGTGCAGGAGGCAGCTGATCGGTGTTTCTCTCTCATCGATGTTTCTAACACTCTCTCTCCCTTCCTCTCTGTAAAAAAATCAATAAAATATATTTTTTAAAAAATAAAGGAGAGCAGAGGCCCCAGGGCAGAACCTGAGTGAATGTGTCAGTCAGGGGTGAGAGGAGGAAGACTAGAGGCAGGAGCAGGAGTTCTCAGAAAGGAACATAACTAGGACAGGGGAGGCACGACTCCAAGTCATTTCGGGCTAGGTAGGATATTTGAAGGTCATGATATATGAAGAACGGTCATCATTATGAAGAAAATCCTAGTGTAAGAGATGGTCAAGCATATCAAATGCTAGAGAAGATGTTAAAGAAAATGAAAAATTAGAAAAGGTCGTTAGATCTGCCCATTAGGAGATCATTGAGAAGAACAGGAGAGAGACGGAAAGATTTTCCTACCAGGGAACTTATTCCACAGGGGAATTTTACACATCCCAGCCTCTCTGTCAGAACACATGTTGGAAACTCCTCAGTTCCTTTATCTTCTCCAACCCACAAGGAATGTCACATGGGGAGGTCGTTATAAGCCATGTGATGGCAGCCCAGTCTGTGTTCTCCACTAAGAGCAGGTCAACAGTTACTGATTAATCACCCACTCTAAGAGGAGTGACTGATTTCTTACCCCTGACACCTGCCATCGCCACTTCTTTGTTTTGCCTTCTTCTGGGACCAAGGTTTTATAAATAATGTGTTTTCAAGACAGAGGGGGAAAGTTATAACAAAATGCTAAACAAGCCTTGATGAAGAGTTGGGCTTCTACAAGTTTAGTTTCATTCCAGAGAGACAAGTTGGATTCCATTAGCTATAGAGCTGATCTAACACATATATCAGAAAGGGTGACGGGGAGCAGAGGTTGAGGAGCCAGGCCCACATATATGTTAGGTTTCTAGCTAGCAACTTGCTAACATGTGGGGGTGCATTTTCAAATAGCCCATCTCTAAGATACTTCCCCTAACCTGCCCATTAAGGCATGGCATTCATTTAAAGTGACAAAGCCATGAATCCACAAGGACAGGTCAAGCTTAAAATAGGAAAATTATACTGTGTCCCCACCCCCATCATCACTTGGTTTACAGTAACCCTAATGAACAAATGACTTGCAACAAGGCATAAAATCCACAATTTGACTTTTTAAGATTTATCACAATGTCCCTAAAAGCTGGTGATAGAAGATGGTTTCAAGTTTTCTTAGCGTAACTGACTTGGCTCACCTGTTCTGATAAAGCGCAAGGCTAGGAGGTGGGAGGGCAATGCCTGAAGTTCATTTGCTTGTTCAGTTAGGGAAAGTTTCTTCAATTCAACAGTAAGAATCTATGACAGGCTTGTCCTGGAGATGTGGAGGTGAAAGCAACATCTCTGCCCTCAAGAGACGCTAATGCAGTGGCCGGAGCAGACGCAGATTACAAAACAAAGCCAAATGCAAGGAGAGAGAGCTGGCGATGGTTTCAGGAGGAATGGATGTGCTGGGAGGAAGTCCTGGCCCTGACCGGATGTCACAGGGGAAGGTCACAAAGACTTTTTGCAGGGACCTTAGAGGTGAGATTCCTCTCTTCTATCCTCAAGAGTCAGTGCCTTCTCAGAGTCACTGCAGGAACGTGCTGTCTCAATCTCTCCACCCCCCATTCCCTCTCCTCCGAGGAGGGGAGAAAAACCAGTCACTACCAGAGAAGGCCAAGTAGGGTTTATGGCGCTTGTGAATACTTTCAGGCCAGCTGCCCCATCTAGACTAAAGGGAGGACAATAGGACCTGCCAGAGGTCAGGATCCGCCAGCTCCCTGGCAGGAGCCTGGTGCATCGGAGTGACAGCTTCCACAGGGTGGCAGTGGAGGAGGGTGTCCAGGGGCTGGTGGCCTAGTGCCAGCTAGGGAGGCCTGGGGACCTGCTGGAACGGACCAGAGAAGGGTGATGGCGAGCAGGAGATGAGGAACCGGGCCCACAGGGAGCTTTCATGGAAGGAAATGGCCTACTTCTGATGGGTCTCTTGAGGAAAGCAAGAAAGTGCTGGGAGGGGCCAAACTTGACTTCCCCAAGACTGGAGGGAAGTCGCTCACCCCGCCTGTAATTTTTGCACAGCCTTATTAGAGAGGCAGGGTTTTCAGCTTTGGGCTTAACTTGGGTCCCTTTCTCTTGCTTGCTCTGGAGCATGACCTTGGGGAGAACCAACATTCTCATTTGCAAGGCTTTGCACTGACTCCCCGAACTGTCCCCCGAGAATGGGTCCCTCCCTCCCTTTCTATCAAACTTTCACCTCCTACCACTCTTATCACCTAACTTTATTCCCAGGAGACCCTTGTAAGATGAGGAAGGAACTGACTTCCACCTTTGTTGATGGGGGTACAGGAGCCTAGAGAACTAATGGCACCCACCAAGGTAGCTGGGCAGCGCAGCAGGGGGTCTGACCCATACCCGTCCCCCAAGAATGTTCACTACAAAGCTGTCAGCGGGGCCCATGCAGGGGTGCTGGAGGCCGAGACAGGCTGGGACAGTATTGTAGGCCCAGAGCTTCTGAATTTGCTGGGACTCATGACACAGTGTGAAAAGGTGTGGAGAGGGTCCTTAGGCCTCTTTTTGACTTGACCGCACTTTTGCTTTTTGTTCCTCACACTCTGATAGCAGAGACTTGCCAATAAGAGGGTTTGATGGGGGACAGCAAGCAGGCTGATCCTGAACCCCTGAGTGTTGGAGGAGGAGGCACCCTGGGACAGGAGGGCTAGAAACAATCCCCGCTGACTGCTCCCGTGCAGGCCCCAGGTCAGCCGTTCCTGGCTCTAGGACAGCCGTGGGCAAACTACGGCCCGCAGGCCGGATCCGGCCCATTTGAAATGAATAAAACTAAAAAAAAAAAAAAGACCGTACCCTTTTATGTAAGGATGTTTACTTTGAATTTATATTAGTTCACACAAACACTCCATCCATGCTTTTGTTCCGGCCCTCCGGTCCAGTTTAAGAACCCATTGTGGCCCTCGAGTCAAAAAGTTTGCCCACCCCTGCTCTAGGAGAGTCCTGGTCTAAGAAAGACATCCCCGCAATGTTTCCATTTCCAAGAGAAATCGCTTCTCTCCCTGCATGTTTCCTTCAACTCTCAGCAAGACCCAAGCAAGCGCGTGAAGGTTGTAAACCTGCTACTTCATTGGGGCTGTTTATTTCCAGTCGACAAATACTGCGCCAATGTTCACTTCAATTAGGAGACACACTTGACAATCTGACTACTCCATCTGATGCCTCAAGGGCAAATTTCAGCTCTTTCCGGAAGGGATGGGCCAACACCAGATCCATATGAATAAAATATACAGACAAGGAACGTTCTCGGCAGTTTGGGGAAACCACCTTCTGCAGCGAGGAGAGTTAAATGTCGACATGAAAAAAAAAAATTCACATAAATAAAGCATGGGGCTCAAGCTGGAGGGAGGCTGGGAATTCGGAGTGGGAGCTGCGGCGCCTGCTTGCCCTTTCCCTGCCTGGATTTGGGGATTGAGTGAGAATCCGCACCAAGGAGTCTGAGACCTTTGTAATTCTGCTGGAGAAACCGTGGTAGCAGTTAAACTCCCTAAGAACTTTACTAGTTTATTTCAGCTTTTAAAATCATCCCAGCAAACAGAAGTTCTCCTTGGTGTCTAATTTCAATCCTTCTGTTTAATCGCCTCTCTTTGTTACTAGCCTGAAGACAACCAGAAAAGCAACTCAGCATCTGGCTTTCTGTGGCCTGGGAGAAGAAGGCAGCAACCGGCGCCCACCCACAGAGTTCGTCCTGCGCAGAATCAACCCTGGCTCCATGCTCCTCTCTCCCTGGCGGGAGCAGACTGGAATAAGAGGTCAGACCCCTGCTGCACTGCCAGGCTGCCTCGGTGGGTGCAATGGGTGCCATTAACTCTCTAGGCTCCTGTATCCCCATCAGTGAAGGTGGAAGTCGGTTCCTCCCTCATCTTACCAGGGTCTCCTGGGACTAGTCAGGTGGTAAGAGTGGCAGGGAGTGAAAGTTTGATAGGGACCGTGCATTGGATTATCTGGTTCCTGTATTTGGAGCTTGCCTGGTCTCGGGTGCAGTGAACTCCTAGTGACAGCTCGGTCACTGAGTTCAGAAATGAAAACCAAAACTGCCTGTAAGTCAATGTATCTCAGATTTTTACATTCACCTAGTTCCTGGATATGTAAGCCTGGTTTATCTTAACTACCTGTGTTTGTATATGTTTTAAGAAGGACCTCACTCAGCTTCTACATAAGCTTGTTAATAGAGATTCGTTTTATAATACTGACAGGCATATTCCTTTTTTAAAAGGGCATTATAACCAGCTGTTGTTAGAAAGAAATCTCTTGAGTATGACATTAATACCACTGTTTCACTTATCATTAAGACATTGTATTTCTATTATTAGCAAATGCTTATAATAGTACCTAATTAAATGTTCTTGGATTTACACTAGCAGTATTTGGTAAATCTCTAGTTATTTTCAATTCTCTCATTTCCTTTCATTCATTCATTCATTCATTCAGCAAACATTTACGAGAGCCTAGCATGAGTGAGGATGCTGGGGAAGCTATGAAGTAAAGACTCATTTCCTCCCTCCAGGAGACCGAAGGACAGACAGACAGCCTGTGCAGAACAGAAATGAAGCAGAGGGGAAGAGGCATCAGCTCTGTGCTGAGAAGTGGGCAGGCTTGACCCAAGACTCAGAATGGGAGCAGGAGGTTGGGGTGGAGAAAAGGGTAAAAAGGAGGTTAGAGGGAGGGCACCGCTTATGCGAAGGCACAGAGTCCCAGCTGAGACAACACAGATCTAGGTCCCAGAACTGGGCTCGGTTTTCTTCATCCTTCCCCCTCCTTTCCCCACATTCTCTCCTCCACTTTCCCTCCCCCTGCCACCAGATTTCTCTTCACTCCCTCTTTCTCTTTCATCCTCATGACTTAACACTAATTTTTATCTCACCTCCAATCCAGGTGTATTTTAATAGAAATAGAAAAAAACAATCATATCTAAATTTCAGGCATTTCTCACAGGCATGGTTTCATTCCTCTAAAAACCCCCACGCTGGGAGGAGAGGACCCACAACAGCCCGATGCTGGGAGCCGGCACCCCCGCTCGACCACTGATCAGCTCTAGGTCTTCTCAGGAGTCTGGGGGGACCCATCATTCTGGCCTTCTTCCCTGTCAGCGGCTGCATTTTCTCTACACGCTTGAAAAATCATTTGAAAAACCAGAGAAGCTGAGCGAACCTGGAGAGGATGGCAGGTGAGCAGAGGGGGCGCTGAGCCCTTGGAAGTCCATCAGGACCCAAAGCAGAGGCGTGTGGGCGGACGTCATTTGCATGTCCACCATTCCCAGCACTCCCCAGAAAGCGTGCGGACAGTCCGGTCATCGAGCTCACCCTTGCACAAATACAATGTCAACAGGAAAATTACTTTCAAGTCCCACTAGAACAAAGTCCCATTTGAATGATTAGGATTCTTTCCATCTGGTCCATCCCACCCATGCAGCCCCAGATAGCAGAGTAGTAAAACTACGCCCACCTGCTTGGGTTTTCACAAGTTTATAAAAAGAGAAATTGCCCCGAAATTGGCCAGGGTGATCACGCCGTGCCGCCTTCCCTCTCACCCAAATTCATCTGGCTGTGCTTTTGAGCTAAACATCAGGCATCCTCAGACCTCATAAATTGCCATCCCTCTGCCCATTTAGAGAACAGAAATTCATGACTTGATCTCAATCAAACAGTGTAAAAACCCAAACAAAATTACATCTGGACAGACCAATGGGATGCCAGGTTTTTGCTTGATGAGAAGGGAAATAGCTCAACCCTGGCCCTTTGAAATATAGGCTTTATCTCAAAAAATGCTCATGGAACCTTCACAGAGTCGCAGAGACCAGCTTCCCTTATAATATACAACATAAACTGGATATGGAGCTCATTTTGCTCAGTGCTTTGTGACCTGGAAAACATTTTTTGGAGCCTTAGAAAGAAATTAGTCCATGTTCATCCCCTCCACCCCCAAATGCACTGAGCATCATCTTCTGCTCCTGTAGCCCAGGTGAACAGCAGCCAGGGAACTGGGGCAAAAAAAAACATTGACGATTTCCTGACACAGTTAACAGGCCGTTAAAATTCTGTCCTGCTCAGTGTTAACATCAGTGTTTGGGGAGTCAGAAGGCTACAACTATAAGAGAAAAATAGGCTCTCATCACTCTGGCTGGTATCTGGGTACAAAGTAGCTGCAGAGAGAACTGCAAAGCACTGTACCAACCAGTGAGATGGTCCATCGTCCATGCGAAGGCGCAGAGTCCCAGCTGAGACAACACAGATCTAGGTCTAAGTTTGAGTGAATTTTCTGCAAAAAGAAATTGTTTGGTTGTGAGGGTGGATATAAGTGTTAGAAGTGCATTGTGTTTTGTTTTTTTTTTTTTAACTATATTTTATTGGTTTTCTACAGAGAGGGAGGGAGAGGGATAGAGAGCCAGAAACATCGATGAGAGAAACATCGATCAGCTGCCTCCTGCACACTCCCCACTGGGGACGTGCCCGCAACCAAGGTACATGCCCTCGACCAGAATCGAACCTGGGACCTTTGAGTCCGCAGGCTGACGCTCTATCCACTGAGCCAAACCGGTTAGGGCGCGTTGTGTTTTTTTAAAGAGGGCGATCTCCCCTTTGGAAGCAAAAGTAGGGTTACTTGGGCTGAGATCCCACCAGACCAAGAGGGAAACCTCAAATGGTTGGGGTTTCCTTCCCTCCTTATGCTCCTCCAGCTCCTGTCTCCAGGGCTGACCCGGGGGACTGTGTGCCTGGGCAGAAGTAGCAGCAGGCTCTATGCAAATGTTTTCTTAATTGTGTCCCGGCCATTACTCCATTGTGAGGCTTTTAAGATAATTTATTAATTTTATCTGTAGCTATCGCGGTTGGAGCAGTGGGCTGCGGGCTTCTGCAGTGTGTGTGAGAGAGGTTTCTTCCCGAGTTATTTATTTGATCATGATATTAAATATTAGCAACTCTAACAGCTGGTGTGTTTATCCTGACTTGAGTGTATTAACCTCTTTAGCCCTTTTTTCCAGAAGAAGGACTGGGCCTCCCAGTTTTGACTGTCAGCTGTGGTGCCTGGCGGCCCCGCCGGTTGGCATCCTGACAGGATCTCAAGTCCAGAGCAGCAAGTAAACATGGATGACATTGCAGCGCGAGGGGGACGCGAGCACATGATGACTCGAGGCACCTGCAGCTGCTTGCACCCAAATCAAAGTACAGGCTGAGCTCACTGGGATGGAAAAGCACGGAATTTACCGGGAGTGAGTTGGCTCCGTGCGAGGTGAGGGAGGAGCGGGCTTGGTGGAGGAGACGGGAGGGAAAGATGGAGTCCTGAGCGCTGGCATTTTGCCCATTGACAAGACTCCGCTGAAGCACCTTGGGGGCAATCCCCGGGTCCTAAGGCCCATTGTCTCCCCTATGGCGGGTAGGGATTGGCAGCAGCCAGTGCTGGGCTGACAGGTCCATGAGATGAAGGACAGGCCGGGAAAGCGGTGCTACCGGGTAGGACAGAGCTGATGTTCACTTAACAAGCATGGCTTCAGGCCTACGACTACATTTTACTGGCCGCGGGACCTCCAATGAGTTATTTAACCTCTCGGCCTCAGTTTCCACATCTGCAACATGGAAACAATTAACCATAGTCATGGTGAGCCCTAGTCCAATGACAGAGTAGATGGATAAAGCACGCCTACCAAGAATTACTAGTTTCTTGTCTCTCCTTACCCTGCAAGAATTGACTTTGGACCCTTCTCCACTGACAGCCCCCACATTTTAAGCCAGCGAGGCATTTCTAGGCTCTGCAGCTCCCTTCCCTCCTGGAGTTGGAGTTAGCAGATCCCTGCAGCTCGCCCCCCCTATTCTGGAACTGAGTGTCCCTGGAACGCTGGCACAGGGAGGAGGAATACATAGTGGTCCAGTGTTCAGCTTCACAGGCAAGAAGTGCCCCTTGGAAGAGATACATTTTCTTTTAGGGCAGTGGTTCTCAACCTTCTGGCCCTTTAAATACAGTTCCTCATGTTATGACCCAACCATAAAATTATTTTCGTTGCTACTTCATAACTGTAATGTTGCTACTGTTATGAATCGTAATGTAAATATCTGATATACAAGATAGTCTTAGGCGACCCCTGTGACAGGGTCGTTCGACCGCCAAAGGGGTCGCGACCCACAGGTTGAGAACCACTGTTTTAGGGCCACCTGCAGCCTTAGGGGCCTGCTGGGGGAGACCTGTGGATGACTCAACACTAATGGTGGCGATCGGTACACACAGGCGGGGTGCAGAGTCAGGAGGGGTGGAGAGCCAAGGAGGGAGGCCAGGATTGCTTTAGGATGGTAGATGAGATGTCTCCATTGTTCCAGAAAGCCAGGTGCTTGGCACCTCCAAGCACGGTCCCGGCCACTCAGTTAAAAAATTATACAGTATTCCAACTCAAAGTAAAGCTTAATCTTTATCTGTTATTCTTTTATTTGCATTTTGACGGGCATCTCTCCTTTCAATGCTTAATTCAAAGGAATGACTTTCTAATAGTGGAATTTCTAGTATTCGGCACCTTCTGAGGGATGGCAGTGGGGACATGAGGTCCTTTCCTCTAACCATGCCACATCACTCAGCACCTACATGTGAGGTGAGCTCTATGTGTACATCTAAATCAGGAGTCAGCAAACTATGACCCCTGATTTTGTAAATTAAGTTTTATTGGGCTGTGGCCATGCCCATCTGTTTACTTACTGTTTCTGGCTGCTTTCTGGCCTAATGGTAGAGTTGTGGGGTTGAGACAGAAAATGTATGGCCCGCAAAGACTAAAATATTTATTCTCCGGTCCTTTACAGAAAAGATTTGCCAACCCCAGTCTAGGTTAACATGTAGCTTAGATTGACTATAGTTTAGAGACCAGGGTGTGATCTAATCAGAGCCTATTTTTGACCCTATCAAAGGCTATTTTCTCTAAAAATATAAAGCATGAGGAAAAACAAACCGTATGTTCAGGTATTTAGAAAAATAATACTAATGCTATCTCAAAGTAAAGCTTTTTACTTTTTATCTGATCTAAGACTCACAGTAACCCAGGGGTAGATCTTGTTAACCCAGTTTTAGAGGTAGTAAAACTGTGGCTTTGGGATGTTCAATAACTTGGTCTATGTTTCATAGTCGGTAAGGGATGAGGCTGGGATTCAAATCTGGGCTGAGGGGAGATCTTAAACACCTCTTCTCTATACTCCTCAAATGGCGACTATTACTACCATGTATCAAGCATTTATTAAATACCAGGTACTATTAGTCTGACTTCCCACATTTTCTCATTGAATCTTTAAACCGACTCAGGTAGGAATTTGCAGCCCAATTCCACATCTAAAGTTTCTGCAGCTTTTATTGAGAGTTCCCCAAATGAATGACCTCAACAGCAATGACCGAAGACGACCCTTTATCAGCCCTCCACCTCTCTGATGGAGGCAGAGAAACCTGTTAATTCTGCTCCCCCCTGGGGGGTTCAGCTGCTATCCCACCTTCTTCTGAGCTGGGAGAGCTCAGTGTATACCCTTCCTCTCCCACATCAAGGCAGCTGGGCCTGTCCTGCAGAGTGGCAGGTGGTAGAGGGACTCTGAGTGTCGAGTTGGGGGATGGGAGGGACAGAATGAACCAAGGCATGGTTTGGCTAAAACGACGAGAGAAATGTGGTTTCTCAGCTGCTGACGTGCTCTGGCTCAGGAAAGGCAACAACACTAGTGTTTCCAGCTTCCCAGCTTCCCCATCGGTCGGAGCCACCGGGTCCCAGACCAGCAGCACTCTGGGCTACCACACCACCAATGCCGCACACTGCACATGCTCTCTCGCCTTCCCAATCACCCTCACTGCCAGGATGATGTGCTGTCTCTCAAATGACTCTGCTGTTGACTGATGACACCACGGGCACTCCGGGCCAGATGCACCAGGACAGTCTGTCTGTGTAAACATTTAGAACCATGTTGCTAAAATTGTTATCTGTCTACTTTTTCCAAGACCTTCAAGATAACCCAGTTCTGCCCAAGGATCAACTAGAACAAAGCTGTTCTGAGTGGCCATGTCACTCAGCAGTATGGGTTTATTACTGCTTGGTTCCTCCTTGGACTTGAATTCTTCCCCTTTTGCATTTTTAGTCTGTTTCTGTCAGAAAAGATAAAAGGTGGGATTCGAGAAACTCATATAAAAATAAACATGTTTCCTTGGTTACTGCTGTGACATTGCAAACCTTTGGGTGAGGGGCAATTGGTTGGCATCTATCACATATGGGTGTAAGTACAGAGGGAATCACATCTTTGGCCCTATCTGTCATTCTCACTCCTGAACTCTGGACCTGCATAAGCTGTTATCAGTTATATCTCCGCCTGGATGTCCTGCAGGTACCTTCAACCCAACGGACTCGAGAGAGCGCCCTTTCTCCTCATGCAGTGGTTATGGGCCTCCCCATCCACTGAGTCCCCCAAATAGCAATCTGGGAGTTCCCCCAGACATTTCCTTTTCCAGCCCCTATATCCATTCCTACTCTTGGTGTCCTGGCTTGTCCCTGATCATCTCTCCTGGACTGTTGCCTCCCAACAGCCCTTCCAGCTTGTATGAAACTGCAGACTCTTTGAACAAACACAGATAAAGATGTCAACCAAGAAAAAGCGTAAACAGGGAGGATAGTGTCAACGAAGAACCAGAAACAAGGATCTGCCGTCTGATTACCAGTATAATGAGTGTTTGAAAACCAACCGGTGTACAAATCAGAGGGTTCAGAAGCTGTGGGGCTAGAAGCACGCCGAGTGTCAGCTCTGCTTATCATCATGACTGTCGTCTGCTACAAAACAGTCATTGGTGAATTGTCCCTAACCCCCAAACGAAGTAAACAGAAAACAGGAAGTAGGTTCTTGAATTTAACGAAGTTTGATTATCAAATTTTTAAAAACACTGATTTAAAAAGCTACTTTCATTTGACATGTGTCTTACCTAACGTTTCATGTTTGGGAAGATGAAGCAGGCTTTGCCTATGCAGTGCCCACAGAGCATTTTGAAGTTAGGTAAACAAATAATGACCTTGGGGAGGTATCTCCATCTTCCCTCACCATCCTGCCCCCCAACATCAGATGTAGTCACTCATCTTCTCATAACACTATTATAATATTACAGTTATTATAATTATAACACTATTATCATTCCAACAGCAAGTTAGGGGACATCAGCAGAGTCCTCTCCTGAAGTCTCGTGAACAGAAATGGTGACAGTTAAAGTAGTGCTAACACTAGCTGCACACGCAGAAATGTGCAAAGTGGGCAGGTGAGGGGAGTGGGGGTGCCCTTGGTGCCCCTAGAGAATGTGGGGCTCTTGGGCACCTGCACTTCCCTTTTCATTGTGGGGATGGAAAGAGGGCTCACACACAACTCCCATGTTCTTTGAAGCACTATTCACAACAGCCAAGACATGAAAACAACCTAAATGTCCATAGATAGATGAATGAATTTTTAAAATGTGGTACATACATACAAAGGGATATTACTCAGCCTTTAAAAAGAAGGAAACCCTGAAATAGGGACGTGGATGAGAGCTGAGGACATCATGCTAACTGAAATAAGCCAGTCATAGAAGGACAAACTGTGTGATTCCACTTATGCCTGAGGTATCTAAAATAGATTCATAAAAGCAAAGAATAAAATGGTGATCACTGGGTGTTTGGGGGAGGGGAAAACAGAAGTTGCTAATTGGACATAAAATTTTAATTATGCAAGATGAATACATTCTAGAGATCAGTTGTACAACACTGCACTGATAGATAGCAATACTGTATTGCCCACTGAAAATATAAAGGGGTATATCTCAGATTAAGTGTTCATGCACCCCCCCCCACACACACACACACTCACACACACAATCCCTAATGCCTTTAAATATTCAAAAAACTAAATTAAACCAAATAAAAACATACTGTGACCCGATTTCTTCTGCTAGTTGCTGCTCAGTTTCTTTCTCTCATCTGCAACAAAACCCTCAAAGGAGTTTTCTCCCAGTTTTATCTATATATAACTGACATATATTAGTTGAGGATGTACAGCATAATAATTTGATATATGTATATGTTATGAAATAATCAGCACAATAAGTTTAGTTAACATCCACACCTCACAGTTATATTTATCTTCTATGATGAAAACTTTTAAGATTTACTTTCTTAGCAACTTTCAAATATATGATGCAGTATTATTAACTAGGGTTATTATGATGACTATATCCCCCAAATTTATTTATATTATAACTGGGAGATTATTCCTTTTTACCACCTTTATCCACTTCTGCCATTTCTTTTCTGTGTCTATGAGTTTGGTATGTTGTTGTTTTTGAAGATTTCACATATAAGTGAAATTATATAATATTTGTATTTCTCCATCTGACTTATTTCACTTAGCTTAATGTCCTCAAGGTCCAGCCATACTGTTTAAAATGGCAGGATTTCCTCGGCCCGAACCAATATGCTCAATTAATATTTGACAAAGGAGGCAAGAACATACAATGGAGCCAAGATAGTCTCTTCAATAAATGGTGCTGGGAAAATTGGACAGATATATGCAAGAAAATGAAACTAGACCACCAACTTACACCATACACAAAAATAAACTCAAAATGGATAAAGGACTTAAATGTACGACAGGAAACCATAAAAATTCTAGAAGAATCCAAAGGCAACAAAATCTCAGACATATGCCGAAGCAATTTCTTCACTGATACAGCTCCTAGGGCACTTGAAATGAAAGAGAAAATGAACAAATGGGACTACATCAAAATAAAAAGCTTCTGCACAGCAAAAGAAACCATGAACAAAACAACGAGAAAACCCACTGTGTGGGAAAACATATTTGCCAATGTCATATCTGATAAGGGCCTAATCTCCAAAATTTATAGGGAACTCATACAACTTAACAAAAGGAAGATAAACAATCCAATCAAAAAATGGGCAAAGGACCTAAATAGACACCTTTCAAAAGAGGACATTCAGAAAGCCAAGAGACATATGAAAACATGCTCAAAGTCAC